CTTTGTGCCGGTCCCCGGGGGACCGCGGTCCCCGGGAGGAGGAAGGGTTGGCTTTTCTCTCTGAGCACTCAGCATGGTGGGGCCTCTGCGAGGGGGGGAGGAGGAGGGGGACCACACACAAAAGGGGTTCAAAAGGCATCTCCTGGTGCGGGTGGGAGCAAGGATCTGTCCCACCAGGGAGGATCGCGCTGCCCTGAAGCGCAAAGCAAAGGAGCTGGGGTTCACTTTGCCGGTTTGTGCCTACGGCACGGGAAGCCAGGTTGGAAAAAGCAACCAAATGGCTCAGGTGTGGCTGGGAGGTCCCGCGCGAGGGACGGGTACGAGGCTGGGGCGCAGGGACGGAGACAGGAGCTCCTGCCTCCCACCCTGCAGCTGCACCCCCCTGGCCACCCCAGCCCCGGCACTCGCACCGCACCGGCAGGAGAAACAAAACAAGCATCTCCAGGGAGTCTGTTTGGAAAATACCAGGTTTTATTAGACAGGCTGATGTTCAAGCTGACAGTTTTATCCCAATGCACATGATCACGGGCATCTACGTGGGCCTGTGTCCCAGCTCCCTCCCTCCTGCGATGCTCTCGGGCAAGATGCTCACCCCCCCGGCGCCGCAGGGGCTTGGGGTTTCTTGGCAAAATGAAAAGGTCTTCCTGCTCCCCGTTTCCACCCCCAGATTCCCAGAGCTCTCCTAAGAAAGCTCGGAGAGAGCTGGGCTGGGGACTGCAGTCCTCTTGGGACTGACAGCCACTTGGATCCATGGTAGAGAAAATATCTTGGTGTCGGCATCTCCCCGAGCCAGCACAGCACTGAGTCAGTGTGCGTCACGGGCAGCAGAAAACAGCCCCGGCTTCGGACCACCGCTGGCATCACTTTGGAAAGAGAACCCTAACGGATGATATCGGGGGAGGAAAAAAGGTTTTGGCCATCACAGAGGAGCCCCATCCAGGGGCTCCACCCACACCACGGCTTTGCACAGGGTGTGTGGGTGCTGAAGGGGAAGAGAAAGGGAGGAGAGGAGGCAGCGCGTGCTGGAGAATAAAGCAAGAGAAAAGGAAAACAGATGGGGAGAACGATGGGAGCGGCCTGAGAGCAGAGCGACGCTGCCTTCGGGTTCAAGGCCATAAGGGAGAGTCAGAGCTCCTTCCTGGGATGGGGGGGCTTTTCCCTGGGTACCCCAGAGCCCATGGGCTTTGGGGGGACAGGGCAGCAAGGAAAGAGATGGCGCGATACGGTGCTTGCAAATAGGAACGTTTGATGGCCTTTGCTTGCCGTGACAGTGGCACACAGTGCGATGGCAGGAACAGTGACAATATTAGCTCATTTCTGTCGGTGTTTCTATTCCATTAGTTCTTAAGAAAACCATGCGGACTAGCCCGGCGGAGGAGAGTGGGAGACAAGGAGGAGTGGGTGAGACAGAGAGGGACGCCGACAGGCAAGGGGATCACGTACAAGAAAGAAGAAGGAACAGCAGCGGAGCAGGGCAGCAGCTCTGGGGCAGGTTTGAGACCTCGCGGCGCTGACTCACGAGCGCACCACTTCTCTCCGGGCTGTTCTGGCTGATGCTTTCTCTGACACTCTGCTTGCCTTCACTCGTACCACCGGCCCCCTCTGCGCTGTGGGCAAAATCCCTCTGCACGAGCCATGCCCCTTCCCCTGCTTGGATGTAGATTTGGGTCTCGTCTTCATTAGTTCAAAGGCAGAGTCCTACCTCAAAGCAGAGGCAAGGAGCATGGAATTTCCTGGGGCGGCGTCCCCCCAAACTCACCTGGACTCAAGGGGACCTCTTCTTCGCAGCGCCTGGCCTCAGTGCCGGGGGACATGGAGCTCCCACGGACCTTCTGCCTTAGCCCATGTCCCGTTGGGCACATGGAGATGAGGGGCACTGCCCTTCACGCCCTTTTTTTTTCACAACAACCTTCCATTCCCAGCTTTCGCTCTGTTTCTTGCATTCCTTTTGCCTTTTTCTTGCCTCACCTGGCACCTCCACGTCTTCTTGTTCCTGCCAAAGGTAAGTCCCCCTGCTCCAGAGGTTTCCTGGAGAGCAGCCCTAGCTGTGGTCATTTGGCAGGAGGAAGGAGAAAGGACGTTTAGCAGGTCATTGGTGGGCTTGAAGGCACCAGTCTCCATCCAGGGCAACATCTACTTCTTGGTTTGTGCTCGGCTCGGCAGCCTGCCGTGCTGGCCGTGAGGGCCAAGTGACGAGGCCACCCCTAATCCCCCGGCTTTCACTGCCAGGTTTCAAGGTCAGCTGTCCGCGGGGAACCTCACCCTGCTCGGGTGCTTCCGAAGCAATACTCCTTCTCCTCCCAGGACTGAGCGCCGATGCACAGAGATGAGCCAACAAAATCGTGGCTAAAACAGGGGAAGTGTGGCAAACAAGCCAGAGAAACCTGCCTGGGTTGTCCTAGGGAGAACAGATCAGCAGATGGGCAAAAAGGATGCGGCTAGTGCCCCCCCGTTCCTGCCTCCCTCCACAGAGGACAAAAACATGGGGGTCTGACTGAGAAAACAGCAACATGGACTTGAACAAGGTAAAACTGCCAAACCCTTTACCCTCGGACCCCTGCTGATCCTCAGGCTTGACTTGCCAGGATGGGTTCTTGAGGTTGGCGGCACACGCAGGCACCAAGTGCCCTGTCCCTGTGGTGGCCCAGGGCGAGGAAAACCTGCTCACCGCTCCTTGCGGGACTGTGTGATTTGGGGTGCTGGTCCTCCTCCTCCAGCACAGCGCAGCCAGTGCTGGCAGCTCCTTTCCAGCCCAGTTCTTCCTCTGGCGTGGACTTGCAAATCCCATCACGGCTACCTGTCTGGAGCTACAAACGCCCCTGCAAAAGCCCCTTCTTAAGGCGAACACCCAGGTGAAGGCTGCAGAAGTTCAGCTCAGCTGTTATGCGAAAGGAGAACTCACTGGGCGACCTAAAAGTCTCAGAAAGAAAAACAAGATCAATATTTGCAGAGATTTGTAGGATGTTTGTGCCTGAAAACAACAGCTGGGACTTGGCCTTTCTTTCCCTGCCCAGCGCTTTGCCCCCGGGGCTCCCGGTGATGCCCCGGGTTAGTGTGTCACCGCTCTCCCCTGGGCTCTCACATTGTGCCCTCGTTCTCGCTTCCTGCCGGCTTCGGGGATGCAGAGGTTGAAATTCCTGTTCATGCACTCTTGGCACCAGTGAAAAAGCAGCTACAGTTCTAGCTCACCGTGCATTGCTCATACTTACAGCTTAAACATTGCCTTCTACTCGAAAGAACAAAGATAAAATGTCAGGAATTCACAGTTTTTATTCTCTTTCTTATGCCCACCCATCTTCCCCTGCCATCGATGTCAATGACTCAAAGTCCTCATCGTACAGTAGCCTTTGCCAGTGTGGCACTCAAAGGGTTAACAAACCGTGGCTTCTTGGACAGATAAGACATAAGCTCATTCACCGGTAGGAACACGTGGACGGTTATGTTACAGCACACCTTAGGGCTTCCTGTAGCGATTCTTTGGGGTTTCGCCACAGCCAGTGATGTCGCAGGAGAGAACGTTGGGCTTCTTTCCCAAGCCGATGCTTCCCAAGAGGTCGGGAAGCTCGCGAGTGATGGCCTTCTCGATCTTCTCTAGGAAACACCCTCCCATGTAGGAACACTGCTGAGACAGCAGCTTAAAACTGGTGATGGGGTTGATGCCAAAGAAGTCCTTGTAAGCCTCGCGGTTGGGGAGGTCAAATTTGCTGACATTGGTCTTTGCCAGAATGGACTTAAAGATAAAGAACTTGTCAGGATCTTCCACAATGTCCCTGAACACCAGTTCTCCATCGCTAAAGAAGGTCATTTTGTCCTTGTAGGTCTGTAGATAGCGATCGACCAAAAGGGCGTGGATGCGCACCCGGATGGCATGCTGGCGTATGAAGGCGATCTTATTTTCCATCCTGTTCTCAATCACCTGGTTGAGATCTTCCAGGAGCGATATCTCTTCTTTGAGGAACAGGTCTTTGTGGGTATCCGGATGGTAGTCCTGGGGCCAGAAGGAGCTAACGTACACCCTGGGTGGCTCTGTGACATTGATGAGAGGAGCCAGGCTCCAGAATAAGGCACCATAGACTCTCATGAGCTCCTGGGTAGCCAGGCTGTCAGCTTTGTTCAAGATGATTCGGATCTGAGACTCGCGGCCCTTCAGCTGGCGAAACAGCATCTCCAGCTCCAAGCCCACATCCAGCTTCGTAGGGTCAAAGACAACGAAGATGAGATCAGCTCTGTCAATGAACCACTGGCACACGTCGTTGAACGGGTAACCTTAAGGAGAGGAAAGAGAGAAATCCAGCAGAAATGGCCAGCACAAGATGGGTGCCTTCAGGTCAAGGGGTAAATAAACCTTGAGCCTGCCATGCCTCACGCCCTGTCTGGGTTGGACGGGGTGTGAGACACAGCAGACTTCCCATGCAGCCCAGAACCTGTTTCTCATATGCTGAAAACACTTCAGAGTTTCTTGGCATGAAAACCCATCCCTGTGTGTCTGGGCCTGCATGTCTCCCTCAACCTCACCTCCAAACCTTCTTTCTCCCTGCTGCTGGCTACAGACTCCCGCTGCTCCTGTGAGCCGGTATCGGCCACATCGTTGCTCTCCCCAGTGGGCACCGAGTGGGTCAAGAAGCCCTGCTGACCTGTCCTGTCATCCCAGGTGCTGTGGGGATGGTGCTTCTCTGGGCCCTGCTGTAGCACCAGCCATTGCCAAAGCCTGGCTCCAAGGGCGACAAACAGGGCATTAAATGCTGAGCCAAGGCAGACAATCAACAGCCCGAGGAGTCCCCAGGAAACACCTTGCCAAAATGCCTGACTGTAACCCCT